AAATATATATATATATATATATATATATATATATATATATATATATATATATATTTAAATGTCGACCACACAGTCATAATGCCTGTGTTTCCAGTGAACTAAAAGAACCGTGAAGATATAACATTGCATTTTTAGGAACTTTGAATAATTACCTGATTTCTGGGACAAAAAAAAACCCTCTTGACCATCTTGGGTTTTTCGTCAAGATTAGCCATGTTAGTGAGGTGAGTGAGCCATTAACAGATCCTGTTTACGTAAACGCTACTTAAAAACACTTATTTGTGTTTGCAGAACTTTGCTGAATGTGAACATTGACTGTTTCTCGAAGGGTTGACACCCTTAAAATGCCGCACATGACGTTTTATCCCTTATAACTTTGCTATCTTACATAAATATTTGGGTTGTGTAGTGGGTAGCAATGTGGCTTCATTCTTCCAGGAATAGGGGTCCAAATTCTGCCTTTGCTCTGTGCCTGTGCCGTTTGCATGTTCTCCCAGTGTCATACGGGTTTCTTTCTGTAGTCCACAGACATACAGTTAATAGACACCTCTAAGTTGTCTATTGTGTGTGTTTATGTGTGTGATAACATGCCTTACAATGCATGGGCATCTTGTGCAGGACATAACTCTGTCTTGTGCCCTACGGTAACCCCCCCACCCTGTGTGTTACCTGTTGAGGAGAAGTTGGACAGAGAAAAAGAGCTGAGATACTTGCTTAATTATATTTTTGTTTGTATGATTCTATTCAATTCACTGAATAGAAATATTATCAAAAATTCAGCAGCGTAAAATAAAAGTTCATCATTGTAAAGACACACATTTTTCACTAACCGGGGAAACATTTTGGCTATTTTTCTCTCCCTTTCGCTCTCCCTGCCTTTAAGCATTGGCCTCCTTAAAGGTTGCTCCTCTTGAAAACAGCCCCTGCAGTCTCATAAGGGGACCGGCTTCCTGCTTCTCAGGCTCGAACCGTGAGCCGTGAGATCATCTGACCTTGCCCTGCTGCTGGCTTTGCTCATGCTACTCAGAGGTCTGATGTCTTGTATCGTCTCAGCGGCTTCGCCAGGATGCTCTCACTCCTCCTCTTTTGGCTCCGTGGTCCAAACATAGGGGGTCGCACCCTCGCCATACCCCATGGGCTGCTTTAGCATTGCTGGATCTGCCACCTTCTCCTCCAGTGTATTGTGGGGCATGTGGAGCCTCTTTTCCTGCAGCCCCTCCTTGGTAATGGAGTAGAACTGGGCTGTGGGCCTGTCTTTCAGTAGGTTGTTTCGCCGCACCTTCCGGATCGAGAACATGGGCCACAGAGGGTAAACTTGAGTCACTTTGAGGCAGTGGCGACTTGCAGGATAAACAGCGGATCTTCCTGATCCCCAGGTAGAAGATCTCCACAAAGTTAAGGAAGAGTGAGACAAAGGCTACAGTCACCATAAAGATGATGAATATGGTCTTTTCGGTGGGCCGCGAGACAAAGCAATCTACAACATTGGGGCAGGGCCACCGGGCGCACTTATACAGGGGGAGAATGCTGAAACCATAGAGGTAGTACTGGCCCGTTATGAAACCCACCTCAAAGAGGGTCTTGAAGATGATATGGCAGATGTAGGTCCGTAGCAAGGTGCCCTCTAGACGGTACTTCTTGCCACCTTTGGTGGTGGCCTCTTTGACAGCATGAACATTGCCTTGTTCGGGTGTCAATAGTAGATGTTCCTCTCCTGTCTCCTGCCTGTGGCTCACCTCCTCTCTCTCCTCGCGCTTCTCCTCCATATGGATATGGTGCACAGCATGGCCGACAAACATCAGCGACGGTGTGGAGACAAAGATGATCTGGAGAACCCAGAGCCGGATGTGCGAGATGGGAAAGGCTTCGTCGTAACACACGTTCTCACAGCCCGGCTGCTTGGTGTTGCAGATGAAGTCTGACTGTTCGTCACCCCAGACAAACTCTGCCGCCGTGCCCAGGGTCAGGATCCGGAAGATGAAGAGCACAGTCAGCCATAGCCTGCCAATCACTGTCGAGTGCTCATTTACCTCCTCCAGGATGTTTCCCAAGAAGCTCCAGTCACCCATGGTTGCTGGTTTGCCTGAAAGAAGACAATGATGGATCAAAGTATCAGCGTAGTATGCTAGATAGCAGAGTTACAGAAACAGTGCTGTTAGAGTCAGAGTTCCTGAGAGAGTGTTATAGGAATCAGAGTTCCTGAGAGAGTGTTATAGGA